CAAATTGATTTCATATAACTCAGATGTTCATAGCAAGAGAAAATGTAGCAGAAAACCACACATTTTCCTTTCTTGATGAGGTACATGACTCGCTATTCAACAAGGTATACAAATTACTGTGTAATATCTGAAAGGACTAGTATCAAAATGCTTGTGAATAACAGATCTCAGAAATACCAGACTGTGCTTGGTGCCAGTAGTTCACACCTGTAATCCTAGCTACTCAGGAGGCTGAGATCTATGGATAACATTTCAAAGCCAGCCTGGCAGGAAAGTCCATGAAATTCTTATCTCATATAAACTACTCAGACAAAGCCAGGAAGGGTACTGTAGCTGGAATGGTAGATAGAGCAAGAAGCAGCTCAAAGACAGCACCCAGGCCCTGAGTTCAAGCCCCAGGACTGGAAAAAAATAAAGTCAGCATTAGACTATTTTATTTCATATTTTATAGTTTTTAAATCTTCCATAATAAACATCTATTAACATAATAATCATAAAAACTTAGTAGTTATATATAATTAACTAAAGTCAACAATACACAAAACAAAATATACTTTTCACTAAGCAGTACTCATTTTCAACTAAAAAGTTATATTGTAGTTAGGTTTTGTGAAAACTTAATTGAACCAAGTATGGAGTAATAACACAGACTTTTCTAAGGCACAGATACCTTTAAAAGGGCAGGCATAGAAACATTCATTGAGAAGGTCTCTGTGAAGAGTCTACAGAGAGCTTCCTTCATAAAACATGACCTGTTCCTGTATTGGTTCAGTGCTTCAGTAATCTGATTTATACTAACTCCTCCAGCAACCTGAAAAACAAAGATGGTAAAATGGGGTTCACAAATTTTTGTTATCTTCATTGTTTTGTTTTTCCCCTTGGCAGTGGGGCATGAACTCAGGACTTCACAGTCTTGCTTGGTGCAGGTACCAAAGCTTTAACTCAAGGCCTTACCTTTCCACTTGGTTTTTTCACTCAAGGCTGGCACTCTACCACTTGAACCATGCCTCTACTTCCAGATTTTCAGTGGTTAATTGGAGCTAAGTCTCACAGACCTTTTTGCCGTAGCTGGCTCTGAAACATGGTCTTCAGATCTCAACCTAAATAACCAGGATTATAGGAAAAAGCCACCAGCAACCAGCTTCTTTCTTGTTTTTTTTTTTTTTCTTGTTTTTTTAATTGGTATTCTGTCTCTTGAATCACATCTCCAGTCTGGTATTTTGCTGGTCAATTGCAGATAGTCTAAAGGACTTTTCTACCCAGGCCAGCTTCTAACTAGATTACAGGCATGAGCCACTGGTACCTAGCTATTAATATAGGTCTTTAATTAAATATTCCAAGTGCTTTCAAAGTTGGTTTCATTAAATTAGTCAAGCAGACTCATGATTTCATCTCCTCATTTTTATGTACGTATAAAGTATGCAAACAACAACAAAATAATAAAACATGTCATCAGATTTGACTATTACCTCCCTATGACTCTACTGTAACTAGGATCTCAAATGAGTAATAGGTAACAGGTAAAATTTTCAACAATCAATAATCAAGAATGTATCTCGTGTTCTCTAAGCACTCATATAGGATAACTTATACAGAAAGACAGGGAAGTTAAACAAAACTAGATGAGGCCCAATTTTCTGCAAGTATGAGGCAATGAGTTCAAACCCGTTATCACCAAAAATAAATAAAAACTACTTTTCGAGCTGAAGATATCATTCAGTGGTAGAACAGATGCCTAGCATTTACAAGATCCTGAATTTAATCACACCAATGAATCTAGCTACACCCTCCTGTACTGCTCCTGGTTTTTCCTAGTGTAACATGTATCTACTAAAGGCTTCTCAGCCAGGTACCTCCAACTCATGCTTGTAAACCTAGCTACCCAAGATGCCAAGATCTCAGAACTGCAGTTTCAAGTCTCCCAGGCAGGCAAGTCCATGAGACTCTCATATCCAATCAAGAGCCTCTGCCCTAAATAAATGCCAGAAGTAGAGCTGTGACTCAAGTGGTAGAGCCTT